TCTTTTTTTCGCTTATTTTAATTTTACAAAGGATCAGATTTTTCAGAAATAAATATAAATAATATAATTTTTCATAATAATTTTAATTAATTTACTATCGTTTTTTTGTAGATAATTTATTATAATTAGTTTTCACCTAATGCAACGGTTGGGGTCGCTCTTTCCTTTAAAAGTTTGTAAATTCTATAACGGATAATGTTGCTCAAACYCTTAATAGTAATGTTATAACGTTCTAGTTACAATAACTTGATTCGTTTTCTACATTGTAGTTTTTTTTAGAAAAACAAACTTTTGTTTCGTAGACTACTGATTGGAAAAACCGGTTTAGTACTTATTATACTATTAATAGACACCCCACTATAAAAATTCTAATAAATTAATTTTTAAAGTAAAACCCGGATATGAGAAAATTTCCAAAAATGAATTGGGGTGAATTGGTTACACATTATTATGTATAACGAACTACTATTATATAGCTTTTATATAATAATTTCCATTAGATTTTTAATATTTACTGAAGCATTTTATAATTCAGTAGGTAAGTATTTAAAAAACAAATTTTATTTTATTTCTTGTATTTTATATATATTATGTAATAATAATTTAAATAATTAGCACTTTATGTTTTAAAAAAAATTGTTAAAAACAAAAAAAAAAACAATTGGAAATACTTAAAATTGATTTATGGCTTAGTGTTAAACAATACTTCATCATATTTTCTAGTTACATTTTTATGATTTCCAATAAAATCATTAATATAATTTATTATTAAAATTGAAAAGACTTGTGACATTTATTATTATAGAATTTAACCCYYAAGTACAATTAATTTTATTAATTTATCTGTCATTATGAGAAAAGTTTTTTTAATTTTATGTTTATACACGCGTTTAAATACTATACAGGTACCTACAAGATTAAATTAATCTATTTTCCAATAATAGAACATTATTGACTGTTTTCTCTCGTAGACTGTTTTGAATTTCTTTTTACAACGTGAGGCGCAAGTATAGTATTAAAAATTGTGATGATTCATTTGCTTGTTAAACTTTATTTTAAATTTAAAAATAATAATAAGAGAAAACTAATAATATTTTCTTAGATAATACATTAATTGATTTTAGTGATGAACGTAAATCATTTTTTTTTTATATTTAATACCTATGATATTCGTGCGAGTAAAACGAAAATAATTAAAATTAATATTATTTGTATATTGTGTCTTTTAAGTATCTAAATACTTCAAATTCTACTAACTTAGTAATATTATTTTGAAATAATATATATGAATCGTTTAACATTGRTCTTAAGTTTATTTTAGCCTGATAATGAAAATTTTAACAATATAATATTCATTTGAAATATAGTGTTTTTATCATGTATAAATGTATTACATTGTGAAAAACATTATTACAGAAAATCGATTATTTTACATGAAACTTAATTACATAGGTATCTAACCTATATCTAGGTACTGTTAATTTATACAGGTCTGTAAAGTTACTAATCGATTTCAATTATCTWGATATTTGACAATATTGCGATGTACTTAACCCTTTTCAGTGTCATTTCAGTGAATTATAATGTCTTTATTATTGTGTATTCGTTTAGCAGAATTTACAGACGTAAAACATTGTTACAATGTCATTAATTGTTATTTATCACACTATTCAGGTATGGACAGACAGTCTTTTGAAGCTTGCTCTGAATTTGGTGCAGCTAAATTGGTCTCCAATAGCGTTCTTACACAAAACGCATACCAAACTGAATTTATTAGTAGACAAGAATGGAAAAATTCCAATAAAAAAGTGATTATTACATTTTTATATTTTTATATTTGCATTTATTTGTATATCATTATTTGAACAGAATTTTAAAAACCCTGTACTGTAGCTTAATTTAAAATCTGAAATATTCATATTCTTAGTTTATTAGCTTTATTAGTTTTTGTTTAGCARTTTATAGTATTAAAAATACACAGGCATCATGTTTTTTATATGAACTTAGAAGTTTTAATTTAAACAGAATTTTTCAAAATCGGATTAATAARCGAATTGTGTTGTTTATATTATTCATAACATGTGTTTAAATTTAAAGGATAAACATGTACCTAATAGGTAAAGTTCATTGCATGTTTTGCTTATAACAATAAAATATTTTGAAAGTACGTATCCACAATTTGTTTTTATATAGGCATCTTTAAAATTAGAATTTTTACGAAATTAGGTTGATAAGTATTTACTTATTAGTTAAACAATAAGAATATTTTAAAATTTCAATAACTGATAGATATGGATGATATCTTTTCAAGTAGGTATTATTTCAACAATTCATATTGATTAAAGTAAAACCATCATTATAAATTATTATAAAATTTTCTTAGGAATAGAATCCAACATAATGTTTCCACCCGTGACCTATTTATTGAGAAAATCTTACTTTACAGTAGTGGCTTTTATTAAAACGAATATCTAATTCACATGTTTCATATAATCACCTATTGATGAAATAGATTATTTATTTGTATCTAAATTTTTTTTGTATTTTGATAATTATCATCAAAAAAGAATCCCATTATTCAATAAAACATTACAAGAATAATTCCTTTTAAACAGCAGTTGTTATGAAATAAAACAGTTTTTCTGACTTGTCTTAATGTGTAGTTAGGCACTTCACTCTGAACTCATTTGAATTAATTTCATGAAATATGAGATAAAACTCTTATGTTTCTTATGTAACATACTACTAGGTAATAATCGTTCATTATCAAATTAATTATTAATGGTATCGCTAAAAACAAATGAGCATACACAAATTTTCTAAAGAAATTACTAAAATGCTGATTGGATGCTTAAATATTTCCAAATAATATTATATTATGTATGTGTATTTTTATTTGCTTTATAATGTGCCCCTTAAAAAAAAAAATATGTATTAAGTATTAAAATAAAGCAATATATTACCACATATAATAATTTAATTGTATTAGAAACTGAATACCGAATGAAAGCATCATATTATTTTAATTTCAAAGTACCATATTTCTCTGTTCGAAATCATTTTTGTATGAAATCATTATTGCTTCGAAATATATTATATATGTATAACTACTTCAATACCTAATTCATCACATTTTTTTTTTTTGTATTTACTATCGAGATCGTGTCAACTGACGTCGAGTAAAATATGATTAAAAAAAAATTATGATTAATGGAATATCCAGGCACATAATCATATATTCATCTAAATAAGTTGTATTATTTTTAATTTATCTATTAATTTTATTTGAACTTATTTACTTTGAATATTTTTGATTTATTTTATCAAACGAATAATAATCACTGGTAATGAAAAATTTGAAATCTCTGCATATTTCACTGTTCGAATTATTGACAGGTATAAACATACCGAGTTRAAGGAAATATCAATAACGCGAAAATTAATTCTATTCATAATACATAATATTTATTTTATTTCCTGACCTTCAGTGTCCTAGCGTTTTATGTTTGTGTGTTTTTAATTGAAACTATCTTGCGTACATTAGTGTCTATAAGTAGTATATGTTTAGTATATAGTATATTTTCTTAATATTAATTTTTAAAATATTTATACAATTATAATTTTAGTATTCTCAAGACGTTTGCGCAGAACAAAGACGATAGAAAAAAAGTCGAAAAAGCCTTGGAGTCATCTGGATTACCGTCGAATAAAGTACGAATTACAATGTTAAATGTTAAATTGTATTAATTAGACCAATAGTGATTGATATTATATTTGATTAGAATGATTTCGTTAGTCCGGTAAAGTTTATATTTGAAGATTTCTTCACTTTTTACAAAAATCTTACGGCTCGACCCGAAGTTGCACAATTATTTGATGACGTGTAAGTACATTTCAACATTAAAATAAATTAAAATGTATATTTCATGAATAACGTWAATGCAAAATGTTTTAAATGAATTTACCAATTCAGTTTAGGTACAAATATCAATTAGTTAGTAAATTTAGATAACATTATGCTTTATAGTTTATAGTGTTTATACTATAATAGTATAATGTGAATAGTTTTGAACTAATTGAACTAACTTTAATATATTTGTTTTGGTAYATGCATTTTGTGATGTATTGTTAATATGCTATACACTTGAACTGTTACTTGTAAGATAGGGTTATCTTATACTATTATTAATATCCTTTGGTAAATTAAGTATATATGAAGGTGCACTATATATTCTAATGGATGAGTAAAGGGCCATAAAATTAAACAATGTTTACAGAGTAGGATTATGATTTTTGGCATCTCAGG